TTAATAGTTACGACGATCCCGGCATGTGCATGTCCTCGTCCGACGAAATATAGTGCGCCACAAGAAAATAATTGAAAATTATTAAGTGGCAGAGGCCCTGTGCTCTTCTGTAATAAATCTTTCTTTTTATAAAAATACAATTTGAATTTAGTTTTTATGTGATAAGTATTATATTGTTTTAAAATCAGAGAAATCTTGATGTGAGATGCGTACTCGCGACGGTGCAGTTTTATCTTTCTCTGAAGACAACGTGATGTTCACTTGTTTAGCGAACTGTCGCCTTTTCCCATTCTTAAGAAAAAATCGTTCCTATCTAACGTCTCGATGATTCACGAAAAATAAAAATTGCCAACTTGAATGTCAGAGGGTTAGGAAATACAAGAACAGGAATTAGACAACATTTAAAAGAAAAGAATATAAATATATCTAGTAGCCCTGAACAAAGAAAAAGTTAAAAGGAACCAAAGATTTAGATATACTACATACTGTATCATTCTGCGAAGAATAAAAGGATGCACAAGAGAAGACCGAATAAGAAATGAAGAAATAAGAAAAGAGTTAAAAGTGACATCAATTAATACTAGAATGCAAAAATATAGACAAAGATGGTAGAACATGTGGAAAGGGTTAGTGATAGCAGACTTTCCAAAGCAGCTTTGTTATACGCGCCGAGAGGAAGAAGGGACGTGGGAAGGCCACGAAAACGATGGAGAGAAACTGTGAGGACGGAACAGGCAGTAGCCTAATCCATGAAGTGAAGAAGACTACGTCTCGATTGGTGCACGGGAAGTGGTCTAATCATGAATGATGGATCCGCACACTCACTGTTACTCAAATATTGTAGAAGGATTATATTTTCTCAAAATACAGAAAAAGTAAATATTTTATAATATAAATTTGAAGATCCGCGAAATGAAATGTCTAAATAAATGTTTTTAAAATTTATTCCATCATCAGTTGTCTACCCCCCTCCCGAATTCCGCCTCTCGTTATTTTGATGTGAAACGATTACAGAAAAGTTATTGTCTTAAAATATGCTATTTCTTGTGTGGGAAAGAGTTTCTATGGCTCTTTTGTATTCCCTTCTTGTCTGTAAGACATACGATTTTGTTTGAGGTGTTGAAGTGTTGATTTCCATTATATTTTGCTATTTTTCTTGAACTTAGCTTTTCTTTTTTCCGACTGTTTGTTCTCTAATTACTTTATAGATTTTGTTATTATAGATATTTCAACATTTTCCAACGCCAGAAGACTTTGGCATCTACCCTGAAGAGAAAAATGGAGATCGAATCATTCAGTGGATTGGAGGAGAGACTCAAGCACTCATACATCTGAAGGAACGATTAAAAGTGGAGGAAGATGCTTTCAGGAAAGGTTACTACCTCCCTAATCAAGCAAGACCAGATCTGCTGGGACCTCCTTCTAGTCAAAGTGCTGCATTGAGATTTGGATGTCTTTCAGTAAGACGGTAAATATTAACACATATTCTTAAAAATTTAAGATTTTTTTATGAAAAAGAATAATTGTGAAGACTGAAAAGGAAGAGATATTGAAGTTAAGATGCAATTTTAGCCTATTGCGCTTGATCCGTTAGAAATAATTATGTTGAAATATTTTTGTTATTTAGTTTTTATTGGAGTATTCAAGACATTTTTACTAAAATCCATGGTAACAATCAAGTTCCTAACCAACATATTACGAGCCAACTGATATGGAGAGAATTCTTTTATACAATGTCAGTGGGAAACAAATATTACGATGAAATGGAGCGCAATCCTATCTGTTTAAACATTCCTTGGAAAGAAAATACAAAAGGCCATCTTGAATTGTGGGAACAAGGAAAGACTGGTTATCCATTTATTGATGCTGTTATGAGGCAGCTGGTTCAGGTTTGTCTTTCAATTATCTGATAATTTCAAGAAATATTTATGTAGTGAAAACTTAATAAATGACTAAACATAAATTGCATTCACTTTCGTCCATTAAATCATATATATATATATATATATATATATATATATATATATATATATATATATATATAAATTCAAAATGATTGTAGGTTTTTTAGAGTCGGTTTATAGTATTATGATAGTTGCTGGGTTTGATAGACAAACTGGATCATTATGCAACGATTGTAGTTACCTCAGTTAACGTCAGGTGGCAGTTACAGCAGCGTTTAAAAAATGGCGGTGACCGGTAAAGAGAAAGCGTTTTGTACCCTTGAGTATCATCAACTTCAAATCCATTACCGTCACCCAGCGCCATTTTCAAACGAAGTACGGAAAGGATCTTTCTTTCGACAACTTCGCAGATGGTTCGCTCAATTTGTGGATACGGGCTATTTGTGTAAATTGCGAAGCAGTAGACGTCCCGTTGTGCCAGAAGCCGAAGTGAATTGGATCAGGGAAACTTATCACCGTAGCACTAAAACATCGTCTATAAGAGGCAGCAGGGAACTGATTACAGAATGGTTTTTACCTCAGTTGAAAGACGACAGGGGCGATTTCTTACTACCGCAGGATGGTGCAGCACCTCATTTCCACAGGCACATGAGAGCGTGTTTAAACGAGCAACTTCCACAGTGGTGGCTCAGACGCAGGACAGACCTTGATCAGATGCTCTTACCCTGCCTACTAGGTTCACCAGACCTCACGCCGTGTGATTTTCCCCTTAAGGATATTTATATTAAAGATCTATTCTTTATCCCTCCTCTGTCTACGAATATTCAGGAATTGAAGCAGCGCATCAGAGGCAGCGTCCTGAGCATCACTGCTGAGGTGTTTGGAAAGAAATGGACTATTGGGTGGATGCGTGTCGAGTGACTAATGACGCCCATATTGAGTATTTGTAATGTATGTAAAAAACTTTATAAGTTCCAGTACAGAATAAAATAAGGTTCAGATTTCTATGTCAATTACCCCATGTATTATGATTTTTTGAAACCCCGACAATCATTTTGAATAACCCTGTATTGGGTGAGTCACGTAACTTAAGCACCTGTAATTTTTAAACGGTTGAAGTTATTGCAATGCAGTTTTCACGGAAATGAATGAATGAGACTAGTTTGTACACACATTTGTTTCCATTTTATCACTTGTATTTTACGAAATAGAAGAAAATTATTTTTTCAAATGGAACTATCCATATTTTTTAGTTTATCATGACGAGCGTTAGATGAATCCAATAATTACCGATATTGTCATATATTATATAAATATTTTTTGAGTAATTTTGTTTGTTGACTAGTATATAACGGATATTCCAAATATCAAGTTGCACACAAATATTCAATACGAAATCAAGAATACTGTTCACACTCTTTCTAAATTGTTATTGCTTACTCACTCTGGTTCGAGTATTTCTTCCTAATTTATTACTATGTGGCAACAAATACCCGTGCACTGTACTATTGCTTGACCAGCACCATTTAAAGAACAAATATTAACCCTCTATGACTGAGAAGTGCAACAGTTTTTATCCCCATTCTTCACAGAATCTTAGGTTTTAAGCAGAACACGTTATTGAAACGCTTGCTTAATAACACTTACTACAATTATTTACACTTAAATTCTCCTCGTCAAGATTACACCAAATTGAGAAACAAAGATCAACACACTTTTCTCGTAACATTAGAATGAACTGTATTATCGGCGTACGTGGTTCTTTCAATTGCTTTGCCGTTATCTAGATTTTACGTAAATATGCAAATTTACAATCACGGCCTTTCTGCTGCTACGCTAACATTCAAGTCTCTGCCGGCGCCTAATCGTTTTACAAAATTTCAGTTACCTTGACAGGCGCTTCAATCCGTAGCTTGCAAACCGTTTGGTGTTGCCGTCGTTTGACCTTGGCCCACTTCCGGCTGCACGGTAGATTCGATTCCTCGCATACCAGCCGTCCGCGATCGAAAACGCCGTCTTCCCTCTCTTGCCACCAGATCCACGTCCAATCTTCTTTCGCCTCGCCTCTTGACCACGCCCGGCACCGAAATCCTCGCCTCTGCTTCTTTCTTTGCCCCTCATCCTATGCGTCATGTCGACGCGTATTTCACAGTCCTCACACGTTTGCTAACGGCGTATCGGGTTTCTGGCGTTCTTTACAATCCTTCTTAATCGTGTAACTAACTGCACCGTTCCACTGACGCCTCTCAACAGCTCACAGTTCTCGCTTTTGCGGTCCCTATTCCGCCTCGTATTAGCTACTACACCACTTTCCGCAGTCTTTATGCAATATTACACTTCGCCTAGATAATCACAGTTCAGAAGGATGAATCTTCCGCTATCACACTATTCTTTCGCTTGCACAATTACTTCTCACCGTACTTTCTACACAATTGCGTATCATAATCCTCACATCTGAACTCTTCGACACCCCCAAACAAAAGAAAACTGCCCTCTCTAATTACTACCGCTCTAGCTGACCGCACTGGTCCTTTCACCTCGGTGTCAGGTTCAGAAAGAAGCTCTTACTAGCGCTGTCCCATGACAAGATGTCGACTCCGCCCTACTGGCCTTCGCTCACCGCACTCGGCGTCTCGGTACAGAAGAGGGCGATCCGTCAGCTGCTTCGCTATTTATGAGTAGCGTGACGAAACCCTTCCGCGTTTTCCGTGAGCTAGAAGTTCGCCGCCGTCGCGCTGTAAGGCAGAACTAACAGATAGCGCTGTTTCGTTAGTAGTTTATTCGGCTCACCTGTGCTCCCGTGATCTCTGGTGTTTCGCCGACGCTGTGTGGGTGTTGTGGGTTTCCGAGCTTGTCTCAAACGCTCATATATATATATATATATATATATATATATATATATATATATATATATATATATATATATATATATAATAGATCAACCGTTCAAAAATTGCATTGAGGTGCTTAAGTAACTGACTCATATATTTTATATATACATGTATAAAAAAGAAAACAAGACTAGTATATATATATATATATATATATATATATATATATATATATATATACACACACACACTGTCTGTGTGTGTAAAAATATGTTTTAGGAAGGCTGGATTCATCATGTGGCACGAAATGCAGTTGCTTGTTTCCTTACACGTGGGGTCTTGTGGATCTCATGGGAAGCAGGCTTGAAATTTTTTCTTAAATATTTACTTGATGCTGATTGGTCTGTTTGTGCCGGAAACTGGATGTGGGTATCCAGTTCAGCTTTTGAACAGTTATTGGATTGTTCACATTGTATGTGTCCAGTGAACTATGGAAGACGATTGGACCCTTGGGGCGAATACATCAAGTATTGTTTTGATTTGCTTATAGCAGGAACACTACTTGTAAAACAAAATTTCTCTTTCTACAATTGTATTTTTGTGTTGTTTCTTTTTATGTATAGAAGATATATTCCGGAATTAAGAAACTATCCAGTTGAATATTTGTATGAACCTTGGAAAGCACCTTTACATGTACAAGAACAGGCTGGTTGTATTGTAGGCAAAGATTATCCTCAAAGAATGATAGATCATCTTCAAGCTTCAGAAAAAAATCGTCAGGTAAGAATCTACCTATACGTTTTAATTTTCAGTTGTCTATTGATTTGTCATTTTTTTCTCTCAGCTCTTTGTAACTATACATTTTCTTCTTATTTCTAGTACATGGAAGATATTAGAAATCAATTAATGAATCCTCCACCTCATTGTCGCCCTTCTAACGAGAAAGAAACACGAGAATTTATGTGGTGTCATGATAATTGCTTTGACCACTAGTTCCTATCATATGAGACTTGGGCATGAAAATGGTGATGGTATTTAATTCTTGTAAAGAAGGATTTTATTTTTTTAGGAAATTATTACTTTATAAAGAAAGAATTATTCTTTCTGTGTGGAAAATAGGGGCCAAGTTGTGTGTCTGGAAAGTTTTATATTTCATATACCCATTAAAGTAAAAAAACATATCACATTTATGAACTTCAAATCGTATTCAATATTACACAAAGAAATGTTTTTTCATACTTTTTGAGTGTAACAGGGTAAAGTAACCTTTATTTGAAGTCAATGGAAAGTTGTGGTGAGCACTAAATTTATTTTTTTCTCCACAGCTACTCTTTCATGAAAAATAAATTTACACTTTTGATAATTTAAAGTGTATGAGCTTAGTCTCTCCCAGAAAAATGTAATGCATCTGTTTCCAGGCAAAATAGGAATGACTTTGAAATGTTGCTTTCTGGTCTCTTATAATACAGTTTTAGAGGACTGAAGGGTGTCAAGTCTCATTCCTCCAAAGAGACACAGACTTTTTTACACACAGTCTAAATGATCATGAAATTTCGGGTGAGATGCTTTTCGTGTATTCATAATTTTTTTATTGCGTTTTTAGCATAGCATTAGTATTCACATTATTTTATGCTATTGGTGTATATTGGGTATTATTGTGAGATGGAATGTTTGAATGCAGCTTATTTTATAATATGAATATGATTCAATGGAGTTCAAAGCATGAGTTAATTAGAACGTTCAAAACATAAGGTTAAAATGTGAGAGGTGGGTTTTCCAGTTAATGTAGTTCATATTACAATAGTAGCAGTTATGCAAGTGATTCAAATCAAATTCAGTATAAGAATTTAATCTTTGTTATAGACTAAATAGTTTAGAATTGTTTATAAACATTTTGTTCATATAGAATGTGCAGAGATTCTGACCATGTAGATTAGAGAATTGAAATGAATAAACTATTAATGGGATTATGATTCAGAGAATGAGAATCATAACCAGTAATTGTATATTTTTTCCCATGACAAAAACAACCTTGTAAGTTATATAAGCAACTATGTAAGTTACTTTTACAAACAATGACACTTAAAAGTATCAATAACACACTTTTTGAGTTGATGTTATTTCCTTTAACCTCCCTATTTATTAATTTTTTTAAATTTAGTTTTTTCTTTGGAGCAAAACGCGCGCGGCGATGGTGTAACGGTTAGCCAATAACCAAAAATATGCACAATAACAAGTATACTTTTGTACCCAGGTTGGCGGGTTCAAACCCGATCGAAGCTGTGGATTTTTAAGGGCGAAAAAATCCTTCGTACGCCTTCCTTCGGAGGGAAAGTAAAGCCATCTGTCCCATGTTAGTAGATTTACTTGAATGTAAAAGATACTCAAGCCTAAATGACGCCTCTGAGCTAAATTGAAATCACCTGTATCTCGCCCAAGAAATACATCCTTTCTCTGCTAGTTGGTGAAAGGAGCGTAGCGAAATTTGCGTGGTAAGACGAAAGAGCAGGCCTCGTGGCCTGAGTCTCGCCGCGTAAAATAAGGCATCAATTCAATTCAAAACAAAACTCAAAACGCTCTGTGTTCATAATTGAATTAATAAGACAGGTGTTGTAGGTGGTGAATACGTTCACCACTCGTTTTTTGTGGATAGGGAAATTCAGTGAACAGGAACACAGTACACAGGAAAACTTACAGTTGTAACTTTCTGAATATGTCTTTTTTCAATTTTTTCATTTGGAACTTATTTTAAATTTGTCCGGCGTGATATTCACAAACATTAGTGGCGCTAAAACAGCACGTACTTTCTAGCCCTTTGTAATGGTTATATAATACCATCAATACTTTAATTCCTCTCAGAATTAAATGATCGCAATCGTCTTTTTTTTATAAAACTCATTACAAATGGAACATTTCGTGCTAAAAATAATTATTTTCAAGCAAATATCACCTCAAATGTGACAATTATAACTACTTTTCATGCAGCTAAATCATGTCACAACAATACAGAGCAGGAATTCACAGGAATCCCCAGGACGTGACGCGAAATGCCATTGTTGCATTCAATTTGATATTCCTTGAGGCTAGCAATTACTTCATATATTTCAATTATGTTTCAAAAAGTTTATAAAAGATTAATTTGTAAAAAAACAGAAGCACTAACGTAAGAAACGAGCAAACAAATATGAAATAATACATACATTCTAACTTACGTAGTATCCAACTGTCTCAAAACATTTTTTTTTTTTAATTTGTTGCGTCAACTTACACGCAACGCGTCTCCAAGCCCCTTGGGGGCCGTTGAGCTTCACGCTTTTGAAGAAATCCTCCATTAAATATTGCTCGGGAGTAATCCTCCATTAATTTAGTCCGTTACGTCTCGTCATTGTCAAGAGGACCTCCAGATAGCATCCTCTCTTTGGGTCCCTTCACACGCCTCCACCGCTGCGCGCTTCCGAATACCGCGGCTCGTAGCAGAGAATTGGTTTGAATAGAGACCTTCCCACGTGTGGCGGGTTTGCGCCGCTGCCAAAGTTCTTATAACTACACTAGATTGCTAACTCGTCCAGTGAAAGCATTGAATCAGGTGAAGCCGGTCGCCATATTGGAAACGGGCAAGAAGCTGGCGGGAATTAGAATTCGAGTAGTACCAAGCTCATACCCTGAGGGAATGAATATACTCAGAATTACACGCAAAACGGTTTTAAATAATTTATATCTGATAAAAAGTAATACGAATAATATTATTTCAACAAGAGCTTAATTGTTACACATGTTTGAAGAGAATGGCACTTAATAGAATTATATTTACATATTGTTAAATAATATCAACCTATTCAGTTGCTGTATTTTGCTGATAGAGCAAGTACCTTCAGCACAATGTTTGGCCTGGGAGAAAAGTCTTATTTCTGAGTAACTGTCCACTATTGACTTGATAACCTGAATTTTATGAGGAACATCAGTTACAGCAGTGACTTTAGCACACATATTAGTGCCAGGGAAAAGGTTTTCATTTAATGTTTTACGCTTTGTTTCACTTAACTAAATATGAAGCAGAAACGCCCTTATCTCTGAAGCGGAAAGAGACAACTGCTTCTCAGTTTCAAGTACAGTTTTGTACACACATTCTGCAGCTGACACAAGACCACCTCTTTTTCACATCAACAAATCTTGCGTACTCTGCAAAATGCGAGTAACTGTGCACAACACTTTCCCTGAATAAAGCAGTAACACAATTACAAGTAATTCGTTTGGTCAAGGACCGAACAATAAAGCCACACAGATAGTACAGCACATTGTAGTATCTATTAATTGTGGCTTTAGAACATCTCCAATGTTGAACAGTAGAATGTCAGATTCACCATGCATACTCTCACTTTCCAGTTTTTTCCCTTCCATTTTGGGCTAAAAATTGACCTTACATCATCACCATCACGGCCAATGCAATTAGCTGCAGAAGAAGTGAATATACTGTTTTTTCTGCAGTATCTGTTTCAGAACTGCAGTAAACTGTTTAACATTGGGGTTGTTGTTGCAACCTAATCTTCTCCTAATTCTCGAGAATAGTATCTCAATATTATCTTGAGAGTACATACTTGAGAGGATTTCCAGCTCTGTTAAACAGTTCCTTCCCAAAAGAGAAAACTGATTTGACAGCAGTGGCCAAACTAAGAACAAATCTTTTCCTAGGTGAATTGCAAAGTAGTTTGCCATTGCTGTCTTCGCCTTGAAAGTTTTCGTTAAGTACATTATTTAATTTTTATTTCAAGAAATCAGTTTTATGAAAGAAAGAAGAATTAAGTTCAAGAGAAATTAAAAGAAAAATTAACTTCGATTCGTGTGTTTATCGTCACAAATGTTAAGATATACATTAACATTTTCTGAGCTTGCAGTAACCACTATATTTTCATATTCCTTCAGTGTTCAATTATTTTAAGGCTTTAAGATATGGTGTATGTGGTACTTAATTAAAAACTTTTGCCATGAGAAAGCCTGAATTCATGGTCATACGGAACAGAGGGTATTAAGATACAGTATGTGGTGGTTAATTAAAAAGTGTGGTCACTTGGAATAGTGGCGTAATGATGCGGTCCAGTCATGTGTGAGAATGAAAGTTTTGTTGTCTAAATTTGCAGCCCACTGTGTATTGATGCTTGATTAAAAACATTTGTGATAAAAAAATAAGCGTTGACTTGTGGCCACTTGGAACGGAGATATAACGATGTGGTCCATTCAATGTTTAAGGGTAGTAAAAAATTTGTTTGTATTAATGTGCAACTTGTTCCGAGTTCTAGATTTTCTGTATTTGAATAGTGTCACAACTGCAAAAGGGTTTCGTGGTTTTAGTTGGGCGAGAGTGCGGTCCGTCCTGGGTGTCTGTTAAGATTTGCACAGTTCCCGCGAAAAAGTAATATAGATAGATATAACAAAGAATCCTCGTCAGTCTTTCATTTTCATTACTGAACTAGGAGTGAGAGCATGCTCGTGGGAGTGAATCCCCAAATATTACTCCTAACCAGTGAGTCTCCTTGCTGTGGCTGTTTTGTATCAGGAAGTTTCACTTTATGTTGATGCGATTGTAATTCTGTATTTTATGGAGAATGTGTATTGAAGTGCATAAAGATTGTAGTTTTAAATATATAAAAAATATAAATTATTTCATTTTGTTTTCTTTTGTGGTAATCCAGACCCTTGACAATTGATTCTGGAATAGACAAATGCTGACAACAAAAGAAAAAAATATTTTGCTGGTTATCTGTTTAAAAAGTTGATGGTTTGTTTTATGGATTTTTTTACTTTTTTCATTAACTTTGCTTTCTAATACATCAAATTCTTAAAGATTGTTAATAATGAATAAACAAACCAATTGGTTAAATTTTATTTTTAACCAAAACAATCTGCATCAGCTAGATTTTTCGTTCAAATATTGAGCTCCTTTCAGTAATTCGTATTTGGTGGGTATCTCTGAAATTCAAATAAGGCGGGTTTTGAGACGGGCGAGGCAATTCTCCGTCACAATCTTACGACAGTGAAGCTCTCTACGGTATTCACAAGAACGTAGAAGCTGTGCACCTTTGTGTTAATATATAGTTAATCTCGGTTTCCTGATGGGGAACTGAATTTTGTTTTCGGATTCAGCCAAAAGATTCAAAGAAATTTCTAAAAACGTGTACTTTTGTGTATTTTTTTGCGCTGCGATCTTTGTGAGTATTCCGGATTAAACCAACACCACCTAAATAGATCTATGTAGTTGGAGTTGTTTAAACTCCAATACCCAAGCTCATTTTTCGGTCAATACGCCATAATTTTCTTTCGTGACTTTAATGAACGACACTGACATGGCGTTCTTAGAACACTGATTTTGACATCTTTAAGTGGACAAGTGAAGTTAATTTGAACAAGTGAATCACGCGGCATATTTAATTTTAATTCTTGTCAGTATGTCTAAAAAAAGGTTTTTAAGCACATTTGTAAAAGTCAATGAACAGTATTGCTTTGTAACATATTAAATTTGAAGAATTTCAAGTGAATACGGAGAAAACAAAACTTAGTAATGATAGAAAATGAATGAACTCGACTTCTCCCTTTTACGTTCCTGTACAAA